TCGCCCTTGTCTTTATCTTACTTTTGGATGAGGTATGTAGCGGTTTACTATTCGGGGTTAAGTGAATATCATCTACTTCCAAACAACCGCTGGAACAGAGCTTAGATTGAAGTGGGATGTAGGAAGTGCTCAGGTGGAAGACAGACCATACTGGATTGACAGCCGCCCAAGTTCCTTGCTGAGCCTTTTTGGCTACCCACCTGACACTCAGTTATCGCCTGCGACTCCAGGAAATTTCACCCTGCTTAGTGGCTACACCTTAGAAACCGGTTCCATTAGCGGGCTAAACCAGATAAGTGTAGCTGGCGTGTCATTTGCTCTGGGACTTTCCTCCTGTTTGGTCGAATTTGTAGGGTAGGGAGTAACCAGGCATGTTCTGACGCACAGAGCCGGAGTTTACGCTCACCCAGTCACTGCCCGGTGCCAATCTGGGACTGGGAGGAGGAGAAGTGAATTAGAGGCTGTTCAAGTACTCACTTATTTCATGTGAAAGTTAGTCTTTCCAGTCAGTCAATTATACACTAACCCCGTCTCACCATATCCCCTAATTTAGGCAGTATGGTGAGTGAACTAACTAGCCAACCGTAACAATTAACCCGTTCGCGAATTCCTTTGATTACAGATACTGCTTGAACGTGGCAATCCCAGTCAGAAGTTGAAGACCATTCTGAAGTCGCGCTTGCCAGACGTGCCTCTGGAGAACCTGACTCCAAAGAAACAGTTTTTGACCGCAACTGAGACCCTTCAGGTGCTGGACTCGGCCAATTACTTCGCACTGGGTGCTGCCTCAAAGGAGCACAGCGAAACCGAGAGCGCCCAAAAGCGAGCGCACTGGCCTGAAGAACTGGTCAAAATGCTTGATCCATGTGAGCACATTTTTATCTTCAAATAGTTGATCGTTTACCTGCAGGGATTGTCAGGACATTTCTAATGGCGGACTAAGTATGGGGAATTGAAAATTTGCACAGTTGAAAAAACGTTTCAACCACTGACTTTCGCCTTCGTGCTGAGTGGGCTACTGACAAACTGCAAACCACGCGATGTGCTTGTACTTGATACGGCTGTGCTTATGCCTAATCTAGCCGACCGCAACAATTTCATGGACGACACCTGTCCGCGTGTGACGATTAGCGGCAGTGGATCTTCTCCAGCGATGGAGACCGAAGGTACAAGAACCGCTTCCATGTCTTGACGAACGGTTTCGAGCCAAGTCTTGAGTTGCCACCTTCGACGTCTCCAGGCGGGCTTTCTCATTTGAGACGAAGTCGGTATACTTCCTTCAAAGGATGGTCATCAGGTAGCCGTGGTCAAATACTTCCAGGCTTTGACCCAACGTAGGGCCAGCAGTTCTGGTGGACCTGTTGGCAACCCGGCCATCCTAATCGCCACCGTTGCCACTCTCCTG